CCTGTCCCTCTGTCCTGTCCCCCCGTGTCCCCCTGTCTCTCAATCCCTGTCCCCTCCTGTCCCCCCTCCTTTTAAACCCTGTCCCCTTCTGTCCCTCCTTGTCCCCCCCATCCCCCCGGTCCCCCTGTCCCCTCCTGTCCCACTCTTGTCCCCTGTGTCTCTGTCCCTCTCTCCTGTCCCTGTCCCCTCCTGTCCCCCATCCCCCGTGTCCCCCCCTTGTCCCCCCTCTCTCCTTTTGTCCCCTGTCCCACTCTCGTCCCCCTGTCCCTCTGTCCCCCTCTCCTGTCCCTCTGCCCTCCCCTTTGTCCCCCCTGTCCCCTCCTGTCCTCTTCTTGTCTCCCTGCCCTCCCCCTGTCCCTCCGTGTCCCCCATGTCCCCTCTCGCCTTTTGTCCCTCTGTCCCCTCCTGTCCCTGTCCCCCTGTCTCCCCCATCCCCTCCTGTCCCTTTCTCTCTGTCCCCACCTGTCCCCATTCCCCCGTGTCCCCCTGTCCCCCCTGTCCCCCTCTTGTCTCCCTGTCCCCCTCTCTCCTTTTGTCCCTCCGTCCCCTCCTGTCCCTGTCCCCCCCTTGTGTCCCTCTGTCCCCTCCCCGTCTCTCTGTCACCCCCGTGTCCCTCCCTGTCCCCTGCTCTGCCCCCTCTCTGTCCCCCACTGTCCCCCACGTCTCTCACTGTCCCCTGTGTCCCCCTCCGTGTCACCCCCTGTCCCCGCACCGTCCCTGCGCTTCCCCCCCTGTCCCCCCCGTGTCCCCCCCTGTCCCCCCACGTGTCCCCCCCTGTCCCCACACCGTCCCCGCTCTGTCCCGTGTGCCCCCCTGTGTCCCCCGTTTCCCCCTTGTCCCCGCACTGTCCCCCCCGTCTCTCGCTGTCCCCCCCACCGTGCCCCCTCCGTGTCCCCCGTGCTGTCCCCCTGTCTCTCGCCGTCCCCAAACTGTCCCTGCACTGTCGCCCCACTGTCTCTCGCTGTCCTCCCATCTTCTCGTGCTGTCCCCGCGCTGTCCCCCCCGTCTGTCGCTGTTCCCCGTGTCTCCCCCCCCCCGTTCCCGCTCTGTCCCTGCATTGTCCCCCTCGTGTCCCCCCCTGTCCCCGCGGTGTCCCCCCCTCGTCTCTCGCTGTCCCCTCCTGTCTCTCGCTGTCACCGCGCTGTCCCCTGTGTTCCCCCCTGTCTCTCGCTGTCCCCCCTGTTCTGTCCCCTCCTGTCCCCTGTCCCCTCCTGTCCCCCGCTCTGTCCCCGCTCTGTCCCCGCTCTGTCCCCGCTCTGTCCCCTCCTGTCCCTGTCCCCGCTCTGTCCCCGCTCTGTCCCCTCCTGTCCCCGCTCTGTCCCCGCTCTGTCCCCTCCTGTCCCTGTCCCCGCTCTGTCCCCCCGCGCTGTTCCCGCTCTGTCCCCTCCTGTCCCCGCTCTGTCCCCTCCTGTCCCCCGCGCTGTCCCCTCCTGTCCCCGCTCTGTCCCCTCCTGTCCCCTCCTGTCCCCCCGCGCTGTCCCCGCGCTGTCGCGCCGCAGGTGACAATCCCGGCGGGGCGGTGGCACCGCGGGCTCGGGAAACTCTGAGTCACAACCGCGGGGCCACCGGGGGGGACACGGCCCAGGGGACAGCGGGGACACCTGGGGACAGCCGCAGGGGACAGCGGGGACACCTGGGGACAGCCGCAGCGCCCGACACAGGTGGGGCACCTGCGACACCCCGGGGACAGCGCGGGGACCCTGGGGACAGCGCGGGGACCCTGGGGACGGGGGGAACCCCCCGGGCCACCCTTGGGGACAGCTGGGTGACACTTGGGGACAATTGGGGCCATCTGGGCCCCCCTTGGGGACAGCTGGACCCCCCTGGCGACACTCCGGGGACAGGTGAGGGACCCTTGGGACAGCGGTGGCACCCCGGGGACAGCTGGGGACCCTTGGGGCACTCTCGGGGACACTTGGGGACACTCAGGGCCATCTGGGCCCCGCTTGGTGACAGCTGGGGGACCCCCGGGGACAGCTGGGCCACCCCTGGGGCACTCTCGGGGACAGCTGGGCCACCCTCGGTGACACTTGGGGACACTCGGGGCCATCTGGGCCCTGCTTGGTGACAGCTGGGTGACCCCTGGGGCACCGTGGGGACAGCTGAGGCACCCTCGGTGACAGCTGGGTGACCCCTGGGGCACCCTTGGGGACAGCTGGGCCACCCCACGGCACTCCTGGGGACACTCGGGGCCATCTGGGCCCCCCTCGGGGCCTCTTGGGGACACCTGTAGAACCCCAGGGACAGCTGGGCCACCCTCAGTGACATTTGGGGACACTCGGGGCCATCTGGGTCCTCCTGGGGACACCTGTGGGACCCTTGGGGCACCCCGGTGACAGCTGGGGGACCTTTGGGGCACTCCCAGGCCATCTGGACCCCCCTTGGGGACACCAGTGGGACCGTGGGGACAGCTGGCCCCCGCTGGTGACACCCTGGGGACAGGTGAGAGACCCCTTGGGGACAGCTGGGCCCCCTTGGGGACAGTTAGGGGCCCCTCCAGGGCAGCCTGGGGACAGGGGGGGACCCTAGGGGACACTCGGGGCTCTCTGGGCCCCCCTTGGGAACAGCTGGGCCACCCTCAGTGACACTCGGGGCCATCTGGGCCCCCCTTGGGGACACCTGGGGGACCCTTGGGGACAGTGGGGAGACCCTTGGGGACAGTGGGGAGACCCTTGGGGACAGCTGAGCCACCCCGGGGCACCCTTGGGGACACGTTCGGCAACCCGGGGACAGCCGGGGGACCCCTGGGGGACACTCGGGGCCATCTGGGCCATTCCTGGTGACACCTGGGCCACCCTCGGGTCATCTTTGGGGACAGCTGGGCCCCCCTTGGTGACACCCTGGGGACGCGGGGGGGAGATCCTGGGGCACCCTTGGGGACAGCTGGGCCACCCTGGTGACACTTGGGGACTCTCAGAGCCATCTGGTGACAGCTGGGCCACCCCTGGGGCACCCTGGAGACAGCTGAGGGACCCAGGGGGACAGCTGGGCCACCCTCGGTGACACTTGGGGACTCTCAGAGCCATCTGGGCCCCCCTTGGGGACATCTGGGCCCCCCTCGGGGCCACCTGGTGACACGGGTGACACCGGAACAGGTGGCCCTGGGGGCCCCGGTGGCACTGGGGGGGCACTGGTGACATTGGTGACCCCGGTGGCACTCGGACGGGACAGGTGGCACTGGGGGGGGGAGGGGAACAGGTGCTGGGGGGAGGGGAGGGGGAGGGGAACAGGGACTGGAATGGTTGAACTGGGTTATACTGGTTAGACTGGGTTATACTGGTTAGACTGGTTTGTACTGGGTTAGACTGGTTTGTACTGGGTTATACTGGTTAGACTGGTTTGTACTGGGTTATACTGGTTTGTACTGGGTTATACTGGTTAGACTGGGTTATACTGGTTTGTACTGGGTTATACTGGTTAGACTGGTTTGTACTGGGTTATACTGGTTTGTACTGGTTTGTACTGGGTTATACTGGTCTGTACTGGTTTATATTGGGTTATATTGGTTATACTGGTTTGTACTGGGTTATGCTGGTCTGTACTGGTTTATATTGGGTTATATTGGTTATACTGGTTTGTACTGGGTTATACTGGTTTGTACTGGGTTATACTGGTTAGACTGGTTTGTACTGGGTTATACTGGTTTGTACTGGGTTATACTGGTTAGACTGGGTTGTACTGGGTTGTACTGGGTTATACTGGGTTATATTGGTTATACTGGTTAGACTGGGTTATACTGGGCTATACTGGTTATACTGGGCTATACTGGTTAGACTGGGTTATACTGGGCTATACTGGTTTGCACTGGGTTATACTGGTTTGTACTGGTTTATATTGGGTTATATTGATTATACTGGTTTGTACTGGGTTATACTGGCTTGTACTGGATTATACTGGGTTAGACTGGTTTGTACTGGGTTAGACTGGTTTGTACTGGGTTATACTGGGTTAGACTGGTTTGTACTGGGTTAGACTGGTTTGTACTGGGTTATACTGGGTTAGACTGGTTTGTACTGGGTTAGACTGGTTTGTACTGGGTTATACTGGGTTAGACTGGTTTGTACTGGGTTATTCTGGTTAGACTGGGTTATACTGGGTTATATTGGTTATATACTGGTTTGTACTGGGTTATACTGGTTATACTGATCCATAGTGGATTATACTGGTTAGACTGAGTTATACTGGTTTGTACTGGGCTATACTGGGTTATACTGGTTATACTGTTCTATACTGGGTTATACTGGATTATACTGGGTTATACTGGTTTGACTGGGATATACTGGGTTATACTGGTTAGACTGGTCTGTACTGGTTCATACTGCATTATAGCCGTTATACTGGCTTATACTGGTCCATACTGGGTTATACTGGTTTGTACTGGTCTGTACCGGTTAGACTGGTTCATACTGGTGTGTACCGGTCCATACTGGGTTATGCTGGTTTGTACTGGTCTGTACTGGTTATACTGGTTAGACAGGGTTATACTGGTTAGACTGGTCTGTACTGGTCCATACTGGGTTATACTGGTCCATACTGGTTTATACTGGTTTACACTGGGTTATACTGGTCTATACTGCTTTGTACTGGGTTATACTGGTTAGACTGGTTACTGGTCTCTACTGGTTACACTGGTTATGCTGGTTATACTGAGTATACTGGGATATACTCGTTACACTGGTTGGTTTGGTTATACTGGTTCATACTGGGTTATACTGGTTTGTACTGGTCTGTACTGGTTATACTGGGTTATGCTGGTTTGTACTGGTTATACTGGTTGGACTGGTCTGTACTGGTTTGTATTGGTTTTTACTGGTCTGTACTGGGTTGTACTGGTTTATACTGGGTTATACTGGTCTATACTGGTTTGTACTTGTTTACACTGGGTTATACTGGTCCATACAGGGTTATTCTGGTTTGTACTGGGTTATACTGGTTATACTGGTTCATACTGGCTTACACTGGTTTTTACTGGTTCATACTGGTTTATACTGGTTCAGGCCATGGACACGCCCTCGGATGAAGGTGACGATGATGATGAGCGAGCTCAGGAGCGCCCCCTGCAGGTCTGTACTGGATTATACTGGTTTGTACTGGTTCATACTGGTTATACTGGTTTATACTGGTTCGTACTGGTTATACTGGTTTATACTGGTTTATACTGGTTCGTACTGGTTATACTGGTTTATACTAATTTGTACTGGTTCATACTGGTTTATACTGGTTTATACTGATTTGTACTGGTTCATACTGGTTTATACTGGTCCATACTGGTCCATACTGGTTCATACTGGTCCATACTGGTCTGCAGGCCACGGATGCACCTTCAGAGGCCGATGATGATGATGAAGGTGACGATGATGACGATGAGCAAGGTCAGGAGCTCCCCCTGCAGGTCTGTACTGGTTTGTACTGGTTTGTACTGGTTTGTACTGGTTTGTACTGATCCATACTGGTTCATACTGGTCATTACTGGTCCATACTGGTCTGCAGGCCACGGATGTCCCCTCAGACGCTGATGATGATGAAGGTGACGATGATGATGATGAGCAGGCTCAGGAGCGCCTCCTGCAGGTCTGCACTGGTTTGTACTGATTATACTGGTTTATACTGGTTTATACTGGTTTGTACTGGTCCATACTGGTCCATACTGGTCTGCAGGCCACGGATGCACCTTCAGAGGCCGATGATGAAGGTGATGATGATGAGCAGGGTCAGGAGTGCCCCCTGCAGGTCTGTACTGGTTTGTACTGGTTCATACTGGTCTGCACTGGTTCATACTGGTTCATACTGGTTCATACTGGTTCATACTGGTGGCAGATCATGGATGTCCCCGTGGAGGCCGCTGATGATGAAGGTGACGATGACGATGATGAGGAGTCGGTAGCAGAAGCTCAGGAGCGGCTCCTGCAGGTCTGTACTGGTTTATACTGGTCTGTACTGGTCCGTACTGGTTTGTACTGGTCTGTATTGGTCCGTACTGGGTTATACTGATTTATACTGGTTGTACTGGTCTATACTGGTCCATACTGGTTTGTACTGGATATACTGGTCTGCATTGGTCCATACTGGTTTATACTGGTCCATACTGGTCTGTACTGGTTGGTACTGGTCTGTACTGGTTTATACTGGTCTGTACTAGTCCCTACTGGTCCATACCGGTCTGTACTGGTCCGTACTGGTTTATACCAGTCCATACCGGTCTATACTGGTCCATACCAGTCCATACTGGTTTATACTGGTCTGTACTGGTCCATACCGGTCCATACTGGTTTATACCGGTCCATACCGGTCCATACTGGTTTATACTGGTCCATACCGGTCCATACTGGTTTATACCGGTCCATACCGGTCCATACTGGTTTATACTGGCCCATACCAGTCCATACTGGTTTATACTGGCCCATACCGGTCCATACTGGTTTATACCGGTCCATACCGGTCCATACTGGTTTATACTGGTCCGTGCCGGTCTGTACTGGTCCATACTGGTCTATACTGGTCCCTGCAGGCGCTGATGGCCCGCGCTGACCGGGCGCTGCCCCGGCGGGCGCTGGAGCGGGACTGGTCCGTACTGGGAGAGCTGGGCAGCGGCTCCTACGGGCGGGTGCTGCTGGCACGGCCCCGGCGCGGAGGTGAGAGAGCACCTGGGCACACCTGGGCACACCTGGGGACACCTGGGGACACCTGGGGACACCTGGGATACACCTGGGGATATCCACAGACACACCTGGGCACACCCAGGTACACCTGGGGGCACCTGGGATATACATGGGCACACCTGGGCATACCTGGGGACACCTGGGATACACCTGGGGACAAATGGGGACAGCTGGGGATACCTGAGACACACCCGGGGACACCTGGGGGCACCTAGGGGTACCTGGGGACACCTGGGGACAGGTGGGATATCCACAGACACACCTTAGGGTACCTGGGGGCACCTGGGGATATCCATAGACACACCTGGGCACACACCTGGGCACACACCTGGGCACACCTGGGCAGCAGCTCCTACGGGCGGGTGCTGCTGGCACGGCCCCGGCGCGGAGGTGAGAGAGCACCTGGGGGCACCTGGGGACAGGTGGGCCTACACCTGGGGGTACCTGGGGGCACATGGAGATGCACCTGGGCACACCTGGGCACACCTGGGGGTACTTGGGGACAGGTGGGGACACCTGGGATACACCTGGGGATATCCACCGACACACTTGGGCACACCTGGGCAGTGGCTCCTATGGACGGGTGCTGCTGGCACGGCCCCGGCATGGAGGTGAGAACACCTGGGGACACCTGGGGGTACCTGGGCACACACTTGGGCACACCTGGGCACACCTGGGGATATCCACAGACACCCTGGGCACACCTGGGGGCACCTGGGATATACATGGGCACACCTGGACTTACCTGGGGACACCTGGGGACAGTTGGGGATATCCACAGGCACACCTGGGCACACCTGGGGACAAGTGGGGATACACCTGGGAGCACCTGGACACAGCTGGGGGCACCTGGGGATACACCTGGGGACAGCTGGGGGCACCTGGGTGCACCCGAGGATATCCACAGACACACCTGGGCACACCTGGACACACTTGGGCATGCCTGGGGGCACCTGGAATATACATGGGCACACCTGGACACACCTGGGTGCACCTGGGGATATCCACAGACACACCTGGGGACACCTGGGCACACACCTGGGGCCACCTGGGGGTACCTGGGGCACCTGGGGATATCCACAGACACACCTGGGCACATGTGGGGGCACCTGGGATATACGTGGGCACACCTGGACACACTTGGGGACACCTGGGGATATCCACAGACACACCTGGGGACACCTGGGCACACCTGGGCACTCCTGGGCAGCGGCTCCTATGGGCATGTGCTGCTGGCATGGCCCTGGCATGGAGATGAGCTCACCTGGGGGCACCTGGGCACAGGTGTGTCCGTCCCTATCCCAGGTGTGTTACCTGTCCCAGCTGTGTCTGTCCCTGACCCAGCTGTGTTACATGTGCAGGTGTGTTACCTGTCCCAGGTGTGTCTGTCCCTGACCCAGGTGTGCTGTGTTACCTGTGCATGTGTGTTACCTGTACCAGGTGTTACCTGTGCCAGGTGTATCTGTCCCTGACCCAGGTGTGTTACCTGTCCCAGGTGTGTCTGTTCCCTGTTACATGTGCAGGTGTGTTACCTGTCCCAGGTGTGTCTGTTCCCTGTTACCTGTGCAGGTGTGTTCCATGTCCCAGGTGTATCTGTCCCTGACCCGGGTGTGCTGTGTTACCTGTGCAGGTGTGTTACCTGTACCAGGTGTGTCTGTTCCCTGACCCAGCTGTGTTACCTGTGCATGTGTGTTACCTGTACCAGGTGTTACCTGTGCCAGGTGTATCTGTCCCTGACCCAGGTGTGTTACCTGTCCCAGGTGTGTTCCCTGTTGACCCAGCAGTGTTACCTGTGCAGGTGTATTCCCTGCTCCTGACCCAGGTGTGCCATTACTTGTGCAGGTGTGTTACCGGTGCAGGTGTGTTACCTGTCCCATGTGTGTTCCCTGACTCTGACCCAGGTGCGCCCTTTCCTGTCCAGGTGTGTTACCGGACCCAGCTGTGCCATTACCTGTGCAGGTGTGTCTGTCCCTGTCTCAGCCATGTTACCTGTCCCAGGTGTGTTCCCAGCTGACCCAGGTGTGTTACCTGTCCCAGATGTGTTCCCTGTTCCTGCCACAGGTGTGTCCATCCCTGTCCCAGGTGTGTCTGTCCCTGTCTCAGCTGTGTTCCCCGACCCAGGTGTGCTGTTACCTGTGCAGGTGTGTTACCTGTCCCAGGTGTGTCTGTCCCTGCCTCAGCTGTGTTACCTGTCCCAAGTGTGTTCCCTGTCCCAGGTGTGTCCATCCCTCACCCAGGTGTGTTCCCTGTCCCAGGTGTGTCTGTCCCTCACCCAGGTGTGCTGTGTTACCTGTGCAGGTGTGTTACCTGACTCAGGTGTGATACCTGTGCAGGTGTGTTACCTGTCCCAGGTGTGTGGGTGTGTTACCTCTCCCAGGCGTTGTTACCTGTCCAGGTGTGTTACCTGTCCCAGGTGTGTTACCTCACCCAGGTGTGTTGTGTTACCTGTGCAGGTGCGCAAGTGGCGTTGAAGCTGCTCTCCAAGGCGCGCATGCCCAGGTGTGCAGGTGTCTGTCCCTAACCCAGGTGTTATTACCTGTCCTAGGTGTGTCTCTCACCCAGGTGTGTTACCTGTTACCTGTCCCAGGTGTGTGGGTGTGTTCCCTGTCCCAGGTGTGTGGGTGTGTTACCTGTCCAGGTGTGCGGGTGCGTTCCCTGTCCCTGATCCAGGTGTGTTCCCTGTCCCAGGTGTGCGGGTGTGTTACCTGTCCCAGGTGTGTCCCTCACGCAGGTGTGTTGTTCCCTGTCCCAGGTGCGCAGGTGGCGCTGAAGCTGCTCTCCAAGGCGCGCACGCCCCGGTGTGCGGGTGTGTTACCTGTCCCAGCTGTGTCCCCTCACCCAGGTGTGTTACCTGTCCCTGACCCAGGTGTGTTACCTGTGCAGGTGCGCAGGTGGCGCTGAAGCTGCTCTCCAAGGCGCGCACGCCCCGGTTCCGGTTCCTGCGCGAGTTCTGCACTCACCTGTGCCTGCGGGGGGCGCTCACCTGCGTCCAGGTGCTGCCGCTCGCCTTCGAGACGCCCACGGAGTTCGGCTTCGCCCAGGAGCTCGCACCTGCGGGGGACCTGTGCGGGCTGCTCACACCTGGGGTGAGTCACAGGTGAGGGACAGGTGAGACAGGTGAGGGACAGGTGAGAGACAGGTGAGGGACAGGTGAGACAGGTGAGGGACAGGTGAGTCACAGGTGAGACAGGTGAGACAGGTGAGGGACAGGTGAGAGACAGGTGAGGGACAGGTGAGACAGGTGAGGGACAGGTGAGAGACAGGTGAGGGACAGGTGAGACAGGTGAAGGACAGGTGAGGGATGGAGCTCGCACCTGCGGGGGACCTGTGCGGGCTGCTCACACCTGGGGTGAGTCACAGGTGAGGGACAGGTGAGACAGGTGAGGGACAGGTGAGTCACAGGTGAGACAGGTGAGACAGGTGAGGGACAGGTGAGAGACAGGTGAGGGACAGGTGAGACAGGTGAGGGACAGGTGAGTCACAGGTGAGACAGGTGAGACAGGTGAGGGACAGGTGAGAGACAGGTGAGGGACAGGTGAGACAGGTGAGGGACAGGTGAGGGACAGGTGGGACATGTGTGACAGGTGAGGGATGGAGCTGCACCTGCGGGGGACCTGTGCGGGCTGCTCACACCTGGGGTGAGTCACAGGTGAGGGACAGGTGGGGGACAGGTGAGGGACAGGTGAGTCACAGGTGAGTCACAGGTGAGGGACAGGTGGGGGACAGGTGAGTCACAGGTGAGGGACAGGTGAGGGACAGGTGGGGGACAGGTGAGGGACAGGTGAGTGGGAAGAGGGAACAGTTTTGCACCCAGGTGGGAGGACAGGTGTGCCCAGGTGACCTCTCAGGTGACACAGCCCTGGCTGGGTGACAGAGCTGAGTGTCCCCAGGTGGGTCCCCCATCCCCAGGTGTGTCCCCAGGTGTGTTCCTGTCCCCAGGTGGCACTGAGTGACCCCACAGGTGTGCCCCAGGTGTGTCCCCCATCCCCAGGTGGGTCTCCTGGAGCTGCAGGTGAATAACTGACCCCACCCAGGTGACCCCAGGTGTGTTACCTGTCCCCAGGTGTGACCCCAACTGTGTCCCCCTCATCCCCAGGTGTGCCCCCCCTCCCCAGGTGGGCCTCCTGGAGCCACAGGTGAAGCACTGCCCCTCACAGGTGACCATAGGTGTGTCCCCCCTCCCCAGGTGCGACCCCAGGTGTGTTCCCCACGCCCAGATGTGCCCCCAGGTCTGTCACCTGTCTGCAGGTGTGCCTCCAGGTGTGACCCCCATCTCTAGGTGACCCCAACTGTCTTACCTGTCCCTAGGTGTGTCCGCAGGTGTGTTCCCCATGCCCAGGTGTGACCCCAGCTGTGTTACCTGTCCCCAGGCGTGCCCCCATCTCTGTTACCTGTCCCCAGCTGTGTTACCTGTCCCCAGGCGTGACCCCGGCTGTCTCCCCTGCCCGCAGGTGGGCCTGCCGGAGCCGCAGGTGAAGCGCTGCGCCGCCCAGGTGTGCTCGGCGCTGTGCTACCTGCACGGCCACGCCCTGGTGCACGCGGACCTCAAGCTGGACAACGTGCTGGCCTTCGACCGCGAGTGCCGCCTGGTCAAGCTCGCCGACTTCGGCCTGACGCGCGTGCAGGGCGCGCCGGCGCGCCCCGCCCCCGGCCACGCCCCCTACGCCGCGCCCGAGCTGCTGCCCCGCCCCGGGGCGCCGCACCTGCCGCACCTGGCGCGCCTGGCGCCGCCCGTGGACGCCTGGGCGCTGGGCGTGCTGCTCTTCGCGCTGCTCACCGGAACCTTCCCCTGGGCCGCGCCTGCGCGCGCCGACCCCGCCTTCCGCCGCTTCCGCGCCTGGCACCGCCGCGCGTGCGCAGCGGGGGCGGGGCCAGGGAAGGGGGCGGAGCAGGGGGCGGGGCCGGGGCAGGGGGCGGGGCCGCCGCCGCCGCCGCGCGCCTGGCGGGGTTTGGGGGGGGCGGGGCTGGAGATGCTGCGGGGGCTGCTCCACCCCCGGGCCGGGAGGCGGAGCCCACCTGGGCAGGTGCTCGGGTACCTGGGGGGGGCGTGGCTGCGGCACGGCGGGGCACAGGGGAGGGGCACAGGGGAGGGTGGGAGCGGACAGGTGAGCTCTGCAGGGGAGGGCGGACAGGTGAGCTCTGCAGGTGAGAGCAGCCAGGTGAGCTCTGAAAGTGGGAGCAGCCAGGTGAGCTCTGCAGGTGAGGGGGGACAGGTGAGGGGGACAGGGCAGGGGGGACAGGTGAGCTCTGCAGGTGAGAGCAGCCAGGTGAGCTCTGAAAGTGGGAGCAGCCAGGTGAGCTCTGCAGGGGAGGGGGGACAGGTGAGTCCCACAGGTGAGGGGAGGAGTGACCAGGTGAGCTCCGCAGGTGAGGGGGAATGGGTGAGCTCTGCAGGGGAGGGGGGACAGGTGAGCCCCACAGGTGAGGAGGGACAGGTGAGCCCCACAGGTGACTCCAGGTCCCCCAGTAGTGAGGTGGGGACACCTGGACAGGTGAGGGGAACACCTGGGCAGGTGACAGAAACACCTGGACAGGTGACAGAAACACCTGGACAGGTGAGAGAAACACCTGGGCAGGTGAGGGGAACATTTGGAGATGGGCTGGGAACACCTGGAGTGAGATGGAAACACCTGGAGATGGGGTAGAGACACCTGGACAGGTGATGGGCACACCTGGGATGGACTGGGAACACCTGGACAGGTGATGGGCACACCTGGACAGGTTAAGGACACACCTGGAGAGGGTCCAGTACACCTGGACAGGTGATGGAAGCACCTGGGATGGGCTGGGAGCACCTGGACAGGTGATGGGCAGAGAGCCACACCTGGAGTTGCCTGTGCTCACCTGAGCTCACCTGTGCTCACCTGGGAATCCCTGTGCTCACCTGGGGTCACCTCTGCACACCTGGGCCCACCTGGGCACACCTGGGATTCCCTGTGCTAGCCTGGGGTCACTTGAGGTTACCTGTGCTCACCTGGGCACACCTGGGCACACCTGAGCTCTCTTGGGCTCACCTGGGTTACCTGTGTTCACCTGTGCTTACCTGGGCTCACCTGGGCTCACCTGTAGTTACCTGTGCACACCTGTGCTCACCTGGGCATACCTGGGCACACCTGAGCTCACCTGTGCACACCTGTGCTCACCTGGGCTACCTGTGCTCACCTGGACTCACCTGGGGTTACCTGGGGTTACCTGTGCACACCTGTGCTCACCTGGGCACACCTGGGGCTACCTGAGGTCACCTGGACTCACCTGGGGTTACCTGGGCACACCTGGGCACATCTGGGCACACCTGAGCTCACCTGTGCTCACCTGAGGTTACCTGGGGCTACCTGAGCTCACCTGTGCTCATCTGGCATCACCTGGGCACACCTGGGACTACCTGGGGTTACCTGGGCTCACCTGGGCTCACCTGGGCACACTTGGGGTTACCTGGGCACACCTGGGGTCAGTTGAGGTTACCTGTGCTCACCTGTGCTCACCTGTGCGCACCTGTGCGCACCTGGGCACACCTGGCATTCCCTGGGCACACCTGGGCACACCTGTGCTCACCTGGGCACACCTGGGCACACCTGGGCACACCTGTGCGCACCTGGGCACACCTGGGCATACCTGTGCTCACCTGTGCGCACCTGGGCACACCTGTGCACACCTGGGCACACCTGGGCACACCTGTGCTCACCTGTGCGCACCTGGGCACACCTGGGCACACCTGTGCTCACCTGTGCGCACCTGGGCACACCTGTGCGCACCTGGGGTTACCTGGACTCACCTGGGCACACCTGGGCACACCTGGGGATCCCGAATTCAATAAAATTCCCAGATTTTGGATTTTTTGCCTCTTTCTTTCTTTTTTTCGTCCTTTTTTTACCTGTTTGGGTCTGGTGGGTGGGGGAGGGGCAGAAAATTGGGGGGAAATGGGGGAAAATGGGAAAATTGGGATTTTTGGGAAAACTGGGGGATAATGGGGATAATGGGAAAAAGGGGGAAATGGGGAAAATTTGGGATAATTGAGAAAAATGGGAAAATGGGGAAATGGGGGGAAATCGGGGGGGGGAAATGGGGAAAATTGTGGGGAAATAATGTAAAATTGGAATTTTTGGGAAAATTGGGGGAAATGGGAAAAGAGGGGAAAATGGGGAAAATGGCATGTGGGGGAAAAATGGGGAAATGGGGAAAATTGCGAAAAATGGGGGAAATGGGAAAAATGGGGGAAATGGGAAAAAAAGGGAAAATTGGAATTCTTGTGAAAAACGGGGGAAATGGAGAAAAATGGAGAAAACGGGAAAATAGGGGAAAATGGAGAAATTGGGGAAAATGGGAAAAGTAGGGAAAAGGGGAAGGAAAGAAAAAGATAGGAAATTTGGGGGGAAATTGGGGAATTTTAAAAGGATTTTTAAAGGAAATTTAAAGAAATTGAAATGGAATTTTAAAGGCATTTAAAAGGGATTTTAAAAAGATTTGTAAAGGTTTCTAAAAGGATTTTAAAGGGGCTTAAAGGGATTTTTAAAGAAGTTTAAAAGTGTTTTAAAGGAAATTTCTGGGAATTTTAGAGTCATTTTAAGGACCTGGAAGATCAAAATCCCAACTTTTTTCTCACTGAACCAACACCAAAATCCCCTCATTCCAACTTTTTCTCACTCTGGAATTCCAGACGCCGATTTACCACAAAACCCCAGAAAATTCCTTGGGAAAAAAGAATCCTGACTCTTATTTTCCCCAATCCCGGAGGATTTTTAAGGCAAATCCCCCAAATCCCCATCCCATAAATCCCCAATCTCAAAATACCCAAATCCCAAATCCCATCAATCCCCAAATCCTCAATCCCATAAACTCCCAATCTAAATCCCGTAAATCCCCAAATCCATCGATCCCCAATCCCATCAATCCCAAATCACCCAAATCCCTCAAACCCTTAATCCCAAATCCTAAATCCCAATCCCATAAATGCCCAAATCCTCAAATCCCCCAATCCCCACAAATCCCAAATCCCCCAATCCCAAATCCCCCAATTCCAAATCCCAAACCCAAATCCCATCAATCCCAATCCCATCAATCTCCAATCTCAAATCCCAAACATCCCAAATCCCCCAAACCCCAAATCCCAATCCCACAAATCCCGCAAATCCCATCAATCTCAAATCCCCCACGCCCCAAATCCCAATCCCACAAATCCCAAATTCCCCAAACCCCAAATCCCCGATCCCCAATCTCAAATCTCGTCAACCCCATCAATCCCAATCCCATAAATCCCCCAAATCCCACTAACCCCATAAATTCCAAAAACCCCAATCCCATAAACCCCAATCCCCAAATCCCCAAATGCCCAATCCTCAATCCTCAATCCCATAAATCCCAAATCCCCAATCCCAAATCCCCAAATCCCCAAATCCCCAAATCCCAAATCCCCAAATCTCCAAATCCCAAATCCATAAATCCAAACCCCAATCCCATCAATCCCTAAACCCCACAAACCCACAAACCCCAATCCCATCATCCCAATCCAATAAACTTCCTATTTTATTAATTCCCAATCCCAAATCCCCAAATCCCAAATCCCCCAAATCCCATCAATCCCCAATCCATTAATTCCCGACTGTCAATTCCCCAATCCCATAAATCCCAAATCCCCAATCCCAAATCTCCAAATTCCAAATCCCATCAATCCCAAACCAATAAACCTCCTATTTTCTTAATTCCAAATCCCAAATCCCAAATCCGCCAAATCCCATCAATCCCCAATCCCATAATTCCCGATTCCCAATCCCCCAATCCCATAAACTCCAAATTCTCATGTCAAACCCCATCAATCCCAACGCCATCCATCCCCATCTCATCAGTCACAACCACAGGAACCACCAATCCATCAATCCCCAATCCCAAATCCTAAATCCCAAACCCCAAATCCCCCAAATCCCCTAAATCCCCCAAATCCCCACATCCCCCCAAATCCCAAACCCCAATTCCATAAATCCCCCAATGCCAAATCACCAATCTCAAATCCCATTGATCCCATAGTCCCAAATCCCCTAAATCCCCCAAACCCCATAAATCCCCAAATCCCATAAATCCCCCAAATCCCCCAAATCCCCCAAATCCCCCAATCCCCTAAATCCCCCAAATCCCAAATCCCTAAACCCCCAAATCCCCTAAATCCCCAAATCCCCCAAATCCCCCAAATCCCCTAAATCCCCAAATCCCCAAATCCCCCAAATCCCCAAACCCCCCAAATCTCCCAAATCCCCAAATCCCCAAACCCATAAATCCTGCAAATCCCCCAAATCTCCCAAATCCCCCAAATCCCAAATCCCCCAAATCCCCAAATCCCCCCAAATCCCCAAATCCCCAAATCCCCTAAATCCCCCAAATCCCCAAATCCCCCCAAATCCCCAAATCCCCAAATCCCCTAAATCCCCCAAATCCCCAAATCCCCCCAAATCCCAAATCCCCTAAATCCCCAAATCCCCAAATCCCCAAATCCCAAATCCCCTAAATCCCCCAAATCCCCAAATCCCCAAATCCCCCAAATCCCCCAAATCCCCAAATCCCCCAAATCCCCCAAATCCCCTAAATCCCCCAAACCCCCCAAATCCCCCAAACCCCCAAACCCCATAAATCCCCCAAATCCCCCAAATCCCCAAATCCCCCAAACCCCCAAACTCCCCAAATCCCCCAAATCCCCCAAATCCCCAAATCCCCAAATCCCCAAATCCCCAAATCTCCCCAAATCCCCAAATCCCCCAAATCCCCCAAATCCCCAAATCCCCTAAATCCCCCAAACCCCCCAAACCCCATAAATCCCCAAATCCCCCAAATCCCCAAATCCCCCAAATCCCCCAAATCCCCAAACCC